ATTTGAGATGATAGGTGATAGGTGGTAGATGATTAAATTAAATTAGATGAGATCAGATGAGATGGACTTTGGGGGGGGTTTTGGGGTGGGTGTAGATGGTTTTTGGGGTGGGTGTAGATGGTTTTTGGGGTGGGTGTAGATGGTTTTTGGGGTGGGTGTAGATGGTTTTATGGATGAAGTTTCCTTTTGCTGCTTTCTGTTCTGTTTTTTGTTTGGGGAATGATGTTGAAGAACCTCACAGATACTTGGCTAATTTGATGTTTTTCATTTTATTAATAATTTTTAAGAGATAGATTAAAAAATGAAGTTGATAAGAACTGCATTGTGAGTGTGCTTTAACTGCTGAGCAGGTTTTTTCCAGCATTCCTCATCTCCAAAATGTGCTACCAGCTGGGGCAGGGGTGGGGCTTTGTTCCGATGGCAGAATTCCAGGAGAGCCCCTGCCCAGGGAGGGCAGGAGTGCTCAGCTGGGCTCCGGCCTTGAGCTGAGAAAGGAGAATCATTATTCATCCTGATTTAAAATCCGCTTTAAATTAAATTAAATTAAATTAAATTAAAATTGCACAAGAGAGGAGGAGAAAGAAGGATGGTGGGAACCCCCTGGAGAGCAGCTCCTGGTGCCTGAGGAGATGAGAGGAACGGAACCAGGAGGATGCAGGGAGGGATGGGAGCGGATCAGGTGCGCTGCTGCTTTCGGCAAAGCCTCGACACAAATCTCTCTCGGTACCTCTGCCCCCGTCCCCGCCCGGTTTCGGGGTCCCCCGTGCCCACCTTGTTTCGGGGTCCCCCGTTCCCACCCGGTTTTGGGGCTCTCCGTGCCCACTTGGTTTCGGGGTCCCCCGTGCCCATCCGGTTTCAGGGCCCCCGTCCCCGCCCGGTTTGGGGGTCCCCCGTGCCCATCCGGTTTCAGGGCCCCCCGTGCCCACCCGTGCCCGCTGCCGGGGTTTCCAGGAGCCGGTGCCGCTCTCGGGGTCCCGGTGCCGCTCCCAGGAGCCCAAAATCTGCAGGGGGGGCCCAGCCGGTACCGGGGGGGGCTCCCGCTGCCTCCCGTCCGTGGTGGGCCCCGGGGGGGGCACCTGGGGAGGGCAGGACCTGAACTGGTTGGAGCACACGGGCAGTGCCCCCCCGGCCCCTCCTGCCCCCCCGCCCTGTCCCCCGCCCCCAATTCCTCGCAGCAGCTCGGTCCCCCCAAATTCTCCCCGCCCCCACTTCCTCCGCTGCCCCGGCCAGCGGGAAACGGCGGGGGGGGCACTGGGGGGTGCAGGGGTGACACTGGGGAATGGGGGTGCAGCAGGGTGCCAAGGGCGGGGGAGCTCCGAGGGGAGTGGGTCGGGGGGCACGAGGGGTCCCCCAGTCACCCCAGTCACCCCAGTCACCCCAGTCACCCCAGTGTCCTGCTGGGACCGGCGGGGGGGGGGGGGGGGGGCGGCGGG